AACACTTTATGTACGACTTCTAAATGTCTGGAATAAAAATCGATGCACCTCAGCCGAGGTCTTGCCTGTGGCCCTGTCTGTGTGTGTGTGTGTGGGGGGGTCTCCTGTCCACATGCCTAGTGCTCTGGGAGTCCCTGCTGGGCCCACACAGGGTGGGGGCAGCCTTCCCACCCTCCTGCTGCCAGCCGCGGGCAGCCCGGGGCCCCTGGAAGCCCGGAGGGGGCCTGTGACGGCAGAGGCCGCCCCTCGCTGCAGGTCCAGCGCTCGCTGTTGCCGGCTTGGCAAGGGTGGCCCCTGGACTCGAGCGGGCAGCTCCTCTAGTCTCCCTTCAGGCCGCCCGCGGTGTGGGCGGCCTCCACACGACGCAGAGCAGACGTCAGATCCGCGCGCTCGGCTGCCAGCTGCCAAGAGGCATCCAGATGCAGGCGCAGTGGAATTGCTCTGCTGCAGTGGCGGGGGGGGGGCAGGAGGGGGACCCCCCCCTGCAGCCGGAGTGCCTCCAAGCCTCCAAGACGGCCCTGAGGTGGGCCTGGTCTGGCGAGGGGGCACTTCGGCCCGTGGTGACCGCCCCCCCGCCGGCGCTCCTGCTGCTGGTGGAGGGCAGGGTGCCGAAGGAGAGGCCGCCCCACCCCGGGCAGCAGCGCCTGGCCTCGTGCCCCCCCGGGAGGGCTCACCGAACTGCTGCGACGGCCTTCTGGCTGACAGACATGGGTGGACGTTCAGCCATCGCAGGGGGGGTTGATTTAACCCCCCCCCCGGTCGTTTTTATGCTGTGCACCTTTAATTTCTGTTTTTTTAAGGCAGGGCTATTGCCAAGAACTTACTTTTGGGGGCAGATTTGGGAGCACTGCAAGACATAGGATTTCTGAAGGACCCCCCCCCCCCGACACTTTGAGGGCCTCCCTAAACGGACTCCTCCTCCCGTGGCTCTTGTGGGCCCTTCTGAAAATGGCCGGGCCTGGAGGGGCCTCGGCAAGGAAACAGACGTTCCGGAAGGGGTCCGGCGGCCCAAGCGAAGCTGCAAAGAGGTCTGGATCCGCCGGAGCGCCGGGCCGAAACAGCGGAACAAGATCCGGCGGGGAGACGTGCCAAGCTCTACACCTGCAAAAAAGACGCCGGGAGCCTCGGGAGCACTTGGCTGCACGGGGGTGCGAGTCAGGAGGGTGGTGGCACCGTGCCAGCCGTGTGAGGAGGCCGCAACGAGGGAAGGGGCTCTTTGGGGCAGCACTGGTGGAAGCACCGCTTCCAGGTCGCCTCTGCGCAGCGCTGGCTGGGGGCCAGGAAGGCCCGGTTGCGAGCCCGTGCCGATGGGCCTGGGACCAGCCGTGGCAGAGCGAGCGACGTCTCTCGCGGCGGCTCGGGGGACGTGCCGGCCCCGTGCGTGGCCGCTGTGACAAGGCCCGCTCCAGGCCAGGCACGGCTGGGGACGACCTCCGAACAGGGCCAGGGCTGCAGGCCTGCTCGGGCGCCGGGCTTCAGGCGGACCCCGTGCGTGCGCCTAGTAGCCAGGGTGGAAGCATGCGGACTCGAGAGCGGCACCAGGAAGCCTCCAGCGCTGCAGCGGGGGAGAAGCCGTCTCGCAGATCCTCCGTGCTGGCTGAGCAAATGCAGGCCGACCTCTGCGGGCAGCTGCCCCGACCGCCTGGCCCCAGGAGCAACGCCCCGGTGCCCGCAGGCCTCCGCAGCCAGAGGCCGGCGGCTTGCCTGGCTCAGCTCCGGGCGGCTGGGACGCTCTGTGGCCGTTGCCGAGCTCCCACCCATGGCGTGCGGGGCGCCCCAGCCCCCATTTGTGGAACAGCCCCGGGGCTCCCCCCCACAACCAGGGAGGCAATTATTACCCCGGTGCCCGCTGCAGGAGGCAGCCGCGTGGATCGGGACCCTGCCCCGCCGGAGGCCGCTGGGTGACCAGGCACCCAAGCCTCGCCTTCCTCGCACGGCTGAGCTGCCCGGCAAGCCCTTACTCGTGTGTGCGTGTGCGTGTGTGGGGGGGCGTCCTTCCCCGGAGGCTCGGTGTCTCTGCAGCGCCTGCTCGACCCCCAGGAGGGCCCCCGCTGCACGCGCGTCAGTGCCCGGCCCGTCCACCCGCCCGGTGGGGCCGCTTCCCTCGGCTGGGCTGAGATTCCCGGCCTTTTTTCAGCCGCCCGCCGCCCGCGCGTGTTTTGGGAGCGCCCGGCCCGACATTCAATCCCCGGCGCAGGTGTGCAGCCCTCCTGCGCCGAAGCGCCCCGCATACCTGCCATACCTGGGAGGGGCCAGCTGCTCCCGGCGGCGAGGGGCCCCTCGGCTGCTTGGCAGCTCGGTGGGTGTCGGGCTTTCCAGCGCCCGGCCTCGAGGGGGGAGGAGCGCATCGTGATCCTCCCTTGGGGCGGGAGGCGGAGCGGCGTGAACGAGCCCAGGCCCTCGCCAGCAGCGTCCTCCGGGGCAGAAGGGAGGGGGCACGGAAAGCTCTTCCCCCAGGGCAGGGGGGGGCAGGGCCCCCACCTCCGTGCCCCTTGTCGCTGCAGGCCAGGCGGGGCAAAGGCGGTGCACCTTTCCCCAAAGCCACTGGGAAGGGGTGCCCACGACCCCTGCCCAGGGGCAGCTCCCCCTTGCCCAGACACCTGGATGCGGGGCCCCCTCACCAGGGCAGCAGCCACAGAGGGCCGCCCCATGCCCTGCCCGGCTGCCTCTCGGTGCTTCTGGCTCCCATCCTCCTCCTCGCCCACGTGCCCCCCTCACTGAGCCTCCCCCATCGGTGGACAGCGGCCCCCGTTCTGCCGGGGGACCCACTGGGGTGAGTGCCAGCAGGGCTGCCTCTGCTTCACGGCGTGGCCAGCAGGGTGGCTTGGGGCCTTGAGCAGCCCTGTGTCACTGCGCCAGCGGATTCCGCGGCTCTGGCGCAGCCAGGAGAGAAGCACATGGCAGGATCGTGTCCCCCGCCTCCTGGAGCACACCGGGATTCAGCGGGGTCATGGCTGCCCCCTCCAGGCCCTCCAGCCGCTTGCCGCGTGGCAGCACAGGCAGGGAGCGCCCCCCCCCCGTGCTCTGGGTCCGGGCAGGGCCGGGCAGCGCGCGTTCCGGGCTCCTTCACCTCCAGAGCAGCTCTCTGGCTTCTGCCCTTGGCACCAGGGAGCCGGAACCAGCCCCGTGGCCTGCGTGGGGGGCGGACTACAGCATCCGGCACCCTGAGCCATCACAGCTGCCGCCGACGCGCCAGCCAGCAGCTTCTGCCTCTCCTGCCCTGCCCTGGACATGCCACAAGGGAGGGCTGGTCTCTGCTCGCCGTGCCACAGCACTCCCGCCTGGCCGTGGCTGGATGAAGCCGCCGGGCATCTGTGTGGCTTCCACTCCCTGCGGGTGAAGCCGGGCAGCCCTGGGGAAGCCACAGGGCCCCTGCAGTGACGTTCAGGCAGCGCTGCCAGCCGACATTGCCCTGGGGTGCTGCTCAGGCACTGGTGCGGCCCCCCACCCGGCTGCCCGAGACTCGCTCGCCCTGCCTGCGAGCTGCGTCACCCACGCGCCAGCAGCACAGCGCTCGCCGGCAGCTGTCGATTCACAGAACCCGGATGGACAAGCCGCTCCTTCCTCTCTCAGGGAAAGCTTGCTTGGTTCTCACGGCCTGGAGGGCCAGTGACCCGCTGTGGGTGGCTGCCCCCAACGAGGGCTTGGCCGAGGGTCAGCCAGGGCGCGACTGCCACCCGGCTACTCCAGGCCGGTCCTGAAAGGGTTTGCCTGCTGCCGTTTGCTTCCACACCAAATCCGCGTGTGGCTCAGAGGCCGCCGGCATCTGCCCACCTGCTTGGAGCTTCTCTGGCGGCCCGTCTCCATGTGCCCCATGCGCTCCATGTGCGGCCGATGGGTGGCTCTCCGGAAAGAGGCGCCTGCTCCACGGTGGCCCCGGAGCCGCCTCCCCAGGGGCCTTCCTCCCTCTGGCGCAGGCGCTTGGCAAAGGCCCCCTGCCCCCGCTGGGGCGCATGGCTTTCTCCTTCCTTCCTTCCTTCCTTCTCTTACTGCTCTAAACTCTACTCCTGAATTAGAACTGCGTTCTCTTGGCTACTTGTATTTTTGGTCCTAATGTGGGGTTTTGTCTGGAACGTTTCCTGTTGCTGGCCACCGCAAGGTTTCGGCAGCGGGGGTGGCAGGCCTTCAAAGCATCCACACGAATCGCGTAAGAGGGTGGAGCAACACCCACGAATGCTCCGCATCACCTGCGCGCAACTGGGCCGCGGGTGGCCACAGGCCAGCATGCGGCCTCAGGGGGTCCCTCGGGGCCTGGCTGCCCCACAGCCCGGGGCTTCCCAAGCAAGCCGCCCCCCGCCCCTAGCTGGCTCCCCGGAGTGCCATCCCATCCCGGAGGAGCCCAGGGGCCAGGGGGAGGTTGCTGCTTCTCACCTGAACGACGTGCTCAGGAACCACCCTGGCCGCCCTCTGCCAGCGGCACGTGCGGCTCCTCGGCAGCACCAGCGCCTGCTACAACGACGCCACGCATTTCAAACCCATGTTGCTTTTATTACTGCACGGAAACACGCACTACAGCTTTTCCTATCTACGACACGGGACACATACATGGGCGTGCCAGGCGCAGACACACGGAAGAATAAATTAAAATGAAAGCGTCGTCCTTTTTGTCGCTGCTAAAAAATCACCATCGTCCAACCGAAGCCCGACAAAAGAGGTGTGTGACGGGTCGGATCCTGGTTGATATGTTTATTTGCTCGGACGGAGGGCAGATGGGCAGCTTCCTGCTGGGAAGGGTGGCCGCTGCTCCCCGGAGCCCACGCTCCTCTGCCACGCTCCTCTCAGCCAAGCGCTTCGCGGTCCCACAGGTGGCCCCTGGGCTGGCAGGAGCACTCGGGGGGGGGAGGTGTCCCCTGCACCCTGCGTGCCCATTGTGCCCATGGAGAAGAGGCCGGGAGGGGGTGCGGGTGGCTGGCCCGCCCTTACTGCCCCAGAGTCTGTTCCCCCTCCTGCACAGTCCTCACGGTGGCCCGCTGGCCGGCAGCCTCCTCCCCCGCGCCCGGCTAGTCGTTGGACGTGACGTCGATGTCTTCCCCGCTGGACTGCTTGGTGGCGATCCGCCACCGGTTGATGTGGTGCGACCCCTTCTTCTTCTGGTCTGACTCTGGGCCCTCCTCTTCCAACTTCTGCCGTTTGTATTTGGTCCTCCTGTTTTGAAACCAGACCTTCACCTGGGCAAGACAGAGAAAAGGGTCAAAGAGGCACAGAAGCCTTCCCCCGGGAACGGAGAGCGGGCTGGGCCACTTCCAGGCAGCCAGAAAGCGATCCTGGGCCGCTTGCACCGAATGCTTGAACACGAGCTGCCCCGAGCGGAGCACCAAGGCCCGGGGGGGGGGGAGGGGCACTCCTTTGCGCAGAGGCGCGCTTTTGGCCGGGGGGGGGGGGGCGGAGCGGCTTCAGCAGCTTCCGTGCGTGCATCCGAAGCAGCCCCATCACCGGCCCCATCGGTGCGTGGCAGACAAGTGAAGACTCGGCCCACGCAGCAGGGGGTGCCCCTCCAGGGGGCGGCCTCCACCTGGGCGAGAACAGGGACAGCCACGGGGAGCGCGTGCTCAGCGGCGTTCTGGGGGGGCCCAACTGCTGCTCTAGAGTGCCCAGCTCACTGCCGGCCAAAAGAAGAGGTCGGTCCCCACAAAGACAGCAGGACCACAGGGAAAGAGCCGCACACGTGTGCCAGAACAGATCCACCCGCGTCTGCCGTGAGAAGAACGTTGCGCTCACATCAGGCACCTGGTCCAACAGCGACGATCGACGTGGTGTGCTTGCTGCTGCTGCACCCCCGGTGCTCAGGCTGCACTGGGCAGACAAGGCCGGGGCCCGTCCCAGTGGGACCCTTGGGAGCGACACTCACTCCCCGGGGCCGAAAGGCCAGGCCCGACGAGTAAGACAGGACACAGGTCAGGCACGGGGCAGCACGCGCTGGGAAGGGAAGGACGCCCTCGTGCAGCGCACGCTCCGCAAACCGAACGATGCCGAGTGGGAGCCGGAGGCCTGGAGGCGCGCGGCATTGGGTTGTCACTGCCGTCTCCAATGGCGGCGGATCCTCTCTCCCCCCATGGCCACAGGGGCAACGGAGGCCCACCCTCCCTGCGTGGCGATGCTCCACGGGGCAGGCCCTCGGCCGTGTCTCAGCCAGGCGGCCCTGCCGGGAGGGAAGGCCCCAGTCGCCCTGCCTGGCGGCCAGGTCTCCCCCACGCAGTGGCCAGGCCAATCCCGGGCCCTCCGGAGACCTTGGGGTGCACCTGTGCGCAGCCCCGGCCAGCACACCTTGGAAGGGAGGTGGCAGGGCCACGGCCCCGGCTGCTGGGACTCCCCTCCAAGGAAAGGCTCTGTGTCCGGGGCTCTTTAGCCTGGCGAATTACGCACCGTTCGGTCACTGTGCGAGCAGGAGGCTGGCCGGGGAGCACTGCTCTCGGCCCCCCTGCTGTGCTTGTGCTGGGGCTCCCCCAGTGTGCCCAGGGGCAGCAGGGACGCCCACAGCAGAGAAGGCATGTCCAGGCGCCCCACTCACGCCCACGCCCCCAGGGTCACGGCCTGGCAGCCCTGGGGCGTCACTGCTAGCCGAGGCTGACGCAGCTCTTGGGACACCCACACGCCAAGCCTTATATTACGTGGCCCTCTTGCCAGGAACCCAGCACAGCTGCCCCGTTTTTTTTTTTTTATTATTATTATTATTATTATTATTATTATTAACATTTCTATGCCGCCCCTTGCCGAAACCTCGGGGCGGCTTACAACATGATAAAATACATTGAAATACAATAGTACATAATAAATTACCATTAAATATAAAAATACAAAAAATACATTGATTTACAAATACAACATTAAAATTATCAGTATAAAATAAAAATATAGGAGGAGAAAGAGAAGGAAGAAGAAGTTGCCCTGGCCAGATCATATGTTTTAACAATTGAAATGATGTTTAAATAAAAAGGTCTTTACCTGGCGCCGAAAAACCAGTAACGACGGTGCCAGGCTCATAACAACAGCCCTGTGAGGTAGGCCGTGCTGAGAGTGAGTGACTGGCCCAAGGTTCCCAGTGCACCTCGCAGCCTGGTTCTCTGGGGGCCCCAAGTCCAGACTGCCGCCACCGCTGCCCCACACTGAGCGCGCATGCATGGAGCCCCCTCGCCCCCCAGGCCACACCAGACGCTGCAGCGCCTGCTGGCCGGGAGTTCCGTTCTGAGGCCAAAGGGCTGCCCCCCCCCCCCGAGAAGGCGGAAGGCAAGGAGGCTCCTCAGCTCAGAAAATTATGGGATGGGAGCTCTGCGTGACGCGAGTCCACGGGAGTTCTCTGCCCAGGCGCCCACCAGGGGCCCATCCAGGGAAAGTCCGGGACGGAGCGAGCGACCTCCTGCTTGCTCCGCCCAGCATTCCTCTGTGGAACCCACACGCAGGGAAGCTTCCTAGGGGGCTACGCAAAACGAGGGTGGGGGCCCCTTTGGCTCTGCGCAGCAGGATCCTTTCTGTTCGCAGGTAAAGCAACACATTTAAGGGAGGCGAAAGCCATTCGCCACAGGGTGAAGCAGGAGGCCGTTTGGCGCAGGTGGCGTTCCGGAAACCCGCCCTGTCCTCGGCAGCCTGTTGACCTCCAGAATCCTGGGCTGCAACCCCCCCAAATTCCAGTCCACACAGACAATGTGAGCACATTCCTTAACACACGCACAGCCCTCCTTTCTGCCTTGGAGGAGCCGCAGGGGCCGATGTGGCCGCCTTCTCTCCATGTTCTCCGCACCGAGAGTTGCACCCTCTGGCCCGTGGTGGCTGCACCAGAGCCCTGGGCCTCACCTCTCCTCTCCCGGCGGCCACAGACACCCTTTCCTCCCAGCTGCCTCCTGCGGCGTGCCTGCCCACCACGTCCACTTGCTTGCCTGTGGGAGAGTTCAAGGACACAGCCCCACGCAGGTTCAGGCAATGGCAAGGCTGGGAGAGGGAGGCCGGCTGCTGGGGGCCTTCCCAGCCCTGCCCAGGAGGGGGCCCCAAGCAAGGCCTGCTATCCCACGGGGGGCGGGGGGGTGGAGAGGCATCCAGGCGGGAGGGCCCAGGCCGGGCGAGGCCCAGCTCAGTACCTGCAGGCTCTGCAGCGGCACCTTTGTGCTTGGGGGGAGCGCTCTGAGGGACCCATGGACCCCTGTAGCCCCAGTTCCACCCTTGAGCAAAACACGTTCTCATTTGGGAGATTTCTGGCCTTCCCAGCTTAGCTGCAGATTGCCAGGTAACAGGCAATAACAAATTAAGGTATCACCATCAAATGACAACGGTAAGAGAAAAGCAAGACGGAAACGCCAAGCCCGGTAGTGAGCAAGGCACCCGGCAGATGATGCGCCAACGAACCCGTTCCGCACAAAAATCCAACTCAGACACGGCTGGCTGGTCCAGCCGGATATTCACGGGTTACCAGACAGGCCTCGACTTCACGATGTGCCAAGTGCCGGTTCCGCTGCACCCAGCGCCAGCCAGACCTCGCCTGGCGCCCCGTCTCCAGTTCTGGCACCGAAGTTTCAAAAAGACGCAGGACAGCCAGAGAGGGCGCAGAGGAGGGCAGCCAGGGTGGCCCAGGGACCGGAGGCAAAGCCCTGCGAGGAAAGACTGAGAGAAATGGGCGCGTTCAGCCTCGAGAAGGGAAGACTGAGGAGAGACGCTGCAAGTGCCGGAAGGCGGTCACGAAGAGGAAGGACACGCTCTCCTCTCGTCCAGCCCAGAGTGCAGGACTCGGAATAGCGGAGTTCGGTGAAGAGAGACCAGGCTGAGACGAGGCACCGCAGGGATTTCCTGAGGGTCAGGGCAGTGCGGCAGTGGAGCCTCTGAGCTGGGGCAGCGGCGGGCTCTCCCTCGCTGGAGGTGCTCGGCACGCGCCCGGACAGCCCCCGGGTGGGGTGGGGTGGGGTGGCCTGGTGTCCTGCGACAGCAGGGGGCTGGACCCGAGGGCCTTCTGGCCCCTTCCGACTCTACCTTTCTATGATGTTTAAGACTGAACCAAGAGGGCCCAAGCAAACCTCCCTGGCGGGAGCCATACAGCTGCCCCCTCCAAAGGGAGTCCCCCGTGGCAGAGGGTCCTGGGCTGGCTGGGAAAGACGCCTGCAGGAAACCCGTTCAGGGTCCACAGGGCTGGGCTGGATGGAGGCCATCTGAGAAGGGGGCAGCTCCGTGCCTCATCTGGGGCCACTCCCGACTCTTACCTGCCCTCCTGCGTTCGCTGCACCCAGAAGCGGCCTGCCAGGGCAATGTCGGTGCGAACGTGCAGCTGATGCGAGGCAGCGCCCCCCAGCGTGCGATCTCCGCTCCACCCCATCGTCTGGGGGGCATTACAGCCGAACAGAGGCCCAGCGGGCATAGAACTCCCCCCATGGTTTGAAAGCCCGCTCCGACCCAGAAGTCAGGGGCCCTACTGGGTGGCACTGCACTTTGCACATGCTTAGGGAAGCTTTCTTCGGCGTATGTCCCAAAGCTGAGCCCAAACAGCTTCTTCGCCCCCCGCCAAGCCTCCCTGCGCGCCGCAACGGGTCGCGTCTCCACTCGTGCCCCCAACCGCCCCGCGGCACCGGCCTCCCCGTGCGCCCGGGCTTCCCTGGCGGGCCTTCCTTGCCTCGGCCCTCCCGCGCGCCCGCCGCCCGCCGCGCCGTTCGCAGAAGAGGAGCCCGAGGGCCGACCGGGGATCGGCGGGGCTGGGCAGGGCGCAGGCGCCCCCGACGCTTCCTCGGAAGCCGCCCGGCCTTTCCAGGCGAGGCTCCGCCGCACTCGGATATCACCCGACAGCCGCGGCGCGCCTCCCCAAGCGCGTCCTTCCGGGAAGAAGCCCCTGCGCGCGGGTGCGCGGCTCCTGCGACCCCTCCCGGTGCGTCCCAGGGCGGCGGCGTCCCCGCCCCGCCGCCGGCCACGCTCTGACCCTGCCCTCCCGCCGTGCGCCCAGGGGGCCAGCCATCGGCCTCGCGCAAAGGCTCCCGCCGCGGGGAGGGGGCGCATCGCGGGGAGCCCAAGCCGGAGCAGGCAGCGGGGCAGCGGGAAGGGCCCGGGGCTGGAGGGCGCGCGCTCCCGCTCCGCTGGCCGCGGGCGGCGCCCGGGGCGCGATGCGAGCGGCTGGGCAGGGGGGCCGCTCCGGGGAGGGCGCGACTTTCCGCCGGCCTTGGGGCTGATGCGGAGCGTCCCGCTCGGGGCCCCCCTCGTCTCCCCGGCCAGGCAGAGGATCCCGCGCAGCGCCTGTCCCCGACCGCGAACCCGGCCGGGGGCACCGGCGCGCGAGGACGCCGCGCACGCCTCGCTAGCCGCGCCGGGCGCGCTGCTCCGGCCCTGCCTCGCCTCCCCGGGGGTCGTCGCCCCGCCTGCCGCGGCCCCAGCGGGGCGGCTCGGGCGCGAGGGAGTCGATCCCGCCGCTTCCGCCCGAACAGCCCCCGGGCCGGCAGAAGGGCGCTGCGGCGGCGAGGCGAGGCGCGGGCCCAGGATCCCCTTCTGGCGTGTGGCAGCACCCCCAGCTGGTGGCCCCGGAGAGTTCCGGGGTGCCCTCTCCCCCTCCGTCGTGGGCCGAGCCCCCGCTCTGCCGGCCCTGTGCTCCCCCGCCCCAGAGAACCAGCGGCGGGGGGGGTGGGCATTGCCCTCTCCGTCCAGAAACACCTCGAATTCCGGCGGCCGAAGGGGCTTCCCAGAGACGAGCGAACCGGCCTTGGGAGTGTGCAGGCGGTGGGTTCTGCCTCACTCGCAACTGCGGACAAAGCGCAGCGGGTCCTCGGTTGCTTTGATCCCCACTTCTTGGGGGGAAGTCCAGCTTCTGGGGGCCTCTGAGTATGTGAATGGTTATACGTGTGATGCAGTGAGAGGAAGGATTCAGATCACAACCGCGTGAACCCACCGAGAAACAGCCCCACAGGGACCACCCTGTGACCTCCTGGTTTGCAAGCCAAGCCTCTGAGCCAGGGGGCGCAGCACGCAGAATTCCCGGCCTCCCTGCCCTGATCCCATGGGATGGTGTGAGCAGGAGGCACAGCCGGTCACTTTCCTTCTGGGAGCCAGGCTGTGAGATGGGCTGGATGCCGCCAGGAAGGCTGTGCTGGCAGGTTTTCTAACGAGGGTGGGTGTACAAGCGGGAAGTTGCATGCCCTTGCAGAGACAGTAGAAACATATTTAGTATTTTTGGTAAAAATCATTTTAAAATAATTTAAAAATACAGTTAAAACAATAGTGTAGATTTCAAGTTTTTTGGTACAAAATCCTTAACATTATAATATGAATGGGAGAAATATTAATCCGTATACTCTGAATTCTAAATCTTTGAAAAGACAACAACCTGCAGACACCCAGCTGGGATCAGATCCTGAATCATAAACCAGGAAACCTTCCCGTGTCCACGGTGTGGGGTCCAGTTTCTCCCCTCGCACAACTGGGGCCTGAATTCTAGGCCAGCCTGAGCCCGCCTGAAATTCCCCCCAGAAATTCAGAAGCACGTATCAGAAAGCTGCTCTCTAACGGGGACTGAGCGCAGGAGGGGAAGGGAATGCTTTGCCACAGTCCGGAGTGCAACCCTATCATTAAGGTAAAAAATTATTATTAATTAATTTATTTAAAGTTTTTATATGCCGTCCAACACTTAAAGTCTCTGGATGGCTTACAAAAAAACAAAAAAACCCCAACCATATACCACAAACAACACACACAACAAAAATAATGGGGGATAATTTGTAGGTCACTTTTCAGGTTATTTATTAGAGCTGTGGGCAGATTCTGAGGTCCAGCACAACCCGCAATTTGGTGCTTGGAAAATTTGGTGCTTGATTTTGCCTGGACTCAGTTTGTCCCTCCCGTTAAATCCTGTGGGAAATCGGGACAAGGCGACAAGCACTGTTTACTCGGATTAGGGGACGGGAGACGGGCCTGTCCAGAGGGGCCAGGCCTGCGGAATTTCTGAAGAGCAGGAAAAATGGCTTGCCATGCGATCCTTGCAGTAACCCCGGGTGAAAATGTGCCTCCTCTCTCCACACCCCGCTCCCCATCAAGATTTACAGAAAGGATGTCTGAGGTTTGGAGAATCCCGAGCTGGTTTGGCCTTGGGAAGCCCTGGAGCTGGGGAAGGGTCTGGGATGGGCCCTGAATCGGCTCAGACTCCAGCCAGATCTGAAGCACACCCACCCTCAGCGCTTACGGGGTCTGTGCACGCGGTCCAGGAGTTCCTCGTGTCGCAGCAACAGGCAGCGCCGCACGTGGGAAAGACCACGCACGGGAATAGCCGGGGCGCTGCTCCCAGGGACAGGGCGGCCTGTGCTGCTGCCGGATGTGTGGGCCCGAACCCACGTCTGCTCCCCACTGGCCGAGAGTGTGGAACCGGGGCCCAGCACTTCTGGGGTCTGGTCCCCGCGCAGCCATGGAGCTGGCTGGGTGACTTCAGGCCAGTCAGAATTCTCAGCCCCACCTACCTCACAGGGTTGTTGTTGTGGGGATAAGACTGAAAGGAAGAGGAGAGCTGTGTAGGCCATCTTGAGCCCCATGACAGAAAAAATGGCGAGCTATAAACACAATCGATAAACACCATTAAGTTCTGCGCGGCCACTGAGGGTGGCAGAAGCCGAAGGAAGTTTCAACAAGAGAGCACCCCCCCCCACCCCGCCAAAGTGCCAGCACTCTGTTCTGGGGCAGGAACACTCAGGGCACCTAAGCTTGTCCATAGAATACGAGCTTTGCAGCGAAGCTGACACTGCAGATACAATTCATGATTTTGAAACAAAAACATCCAGAAGAATACTGGTTTAACATGAATCGGCTTATTTATACAATGCTTACAGACAGAATGGCTCATGAGATTTTATTTTAAAACCAAAATAATCCATTTATCAGGAGCAACCAAAAAGTTACAGAAAGTCAGCCAGCTTTGTTATGTGAACCAAAAATAGCTCAAGGTTAGGGCATGGCAGAAAAGTGTGGCCGGGGACACGATCCCAGAAAAGGCCTTGCCTGGCTTCAGAACAGGGGAGGAGGTGGTGCGCCTGATCGCAGCTTGATGTGGGGAGGGGAAGCGGCACGGAGCGATGCCCTGCCAGAGACAGCCTTCCTGGCAGCCGGTGGCCCGGAGCGATCCTTCGGGCGTCCAGCTCTGCCACGGCAGTGGGTGCGAGGCACCCCTCCCTCGTGCGTGGCGTGGCGTGGCGGAAGGACCTGCAGTGCTCGTCCCCCAGGCGGAACGCCTCTCCTGGCACCGCCACGGGCAAGACGAGGGGCTCCCTGGGTGGACCTGCGCGGGAGACCCCCGCAGCTGCCCCCTCCACTGCCCTGGCAGGCCCACAGCAGGGGAGAAGCAGCAGCAGGAGGCAGGGCTCCGCGCGGACCCGGGGCCGGCCAGGCACGGCTGGGCCCACCGCTCGGGCACACACAAGCGGTGGTTCACGCTGCCCGTGTGCTGCTGTCCCTGCTGCATGTTGCGACACCGCGGGGGAAAGCAGCTCGGCCTCTCTCTGGGGGAGAGAGAGGCCCCGTTCCCCCCGCGAGCCCGCCCCTCGCCCGCTTCCACCTCTCTGCCCTGCAAACTGACCGAGTCCCAGAAACGGGCCTGCTTCCTCTCCCTCTAGCTTGGGCGAAAAGGTTGTTCTTTGTGGCGTTTCCCCCAAGTGTGCCCTTAAGGACTCCCTTCCCACAACAAAACTAGCCGCCAGTTGCAAAAACATGCCTGGCGTTTTAAATGTTTGTGAAATGCTGGCATTGAAGAAGAGCACGACGTCCAACCTCGAGACACAGAAAGGGCCCGGAGGTTCGCGTGACCAGCCCAGCGGGCTGCCCGGCCACACCAAAAAGCACAGTTTCCCTCGAGAAGCCACCCTGAGAGCCCACGACAGCTCTAAGGCGGCTCTTGCCCCCTGTGGGTTGTCGGGCAACTGCTTTGTGGGTTGTCAGGGATGGTTGTGAGCAGCTCGGCCAAGGAGGAAGGCCCCTTTGCTCAGGGTCTCCGCCGAGCCACCGGCAGCCCTTCTGCTGATTCCACCGCGGCCCATTTGCGCCTGGCTCGGAAGCTGCTGCGCGAAAAGCGCCGAGAGAGAGGGGAACGTGGAGCAGCAGACACGGGGGTGGCACCTGCCGCAGCAGACACGGGGGCCCTGTGACTTTGCCGTGCACCGCACTCCGCTGCACGTCCCCCGCCCCCGGTGCTTCCCCAAACCTGCAGCTATTCCAGAAAAGAGGGAAACCGGCTCCCTCGCTTCTCGTGGCCCTCTCTCAGAGCACCGGCTGCTGCCCCGGTCAGTTCTTGGGATGTGGCGGGGAAGTAAGTGGAGAGGAAGCTTGCTCTGAAAACGGGGTGAACTAGTATCTCCCCATTCTGGGTTAGCTAGAAATTTGGGGATGTAGTAAAGAGGTGCAGGATGTGGACAACTGCCTTGGATTCCTTGGAAGGAAAATGGCAGGATAAATACAGTAAGCAAGCAAATAACACAACACTCTGACGGCCGAACACGTAAAAGGACCACGCTGCCCTGGGCAGAGCCGCTTGGCCGCTCTCAGGGCCCCTTGCTGGCCACCGCGTTTCAGCGCCAGTCGGGCAGCCGATCCCGGCAGCTGCGCACGCGGAAGCCTGCGCGGAATCCCACCTCTTCCACTGCCCGTGTGCGACCGGCTCCAGTCTGCCCGGCCTGGCATGACTACACTGGACATTCAGACTTAACCGCGCTTTGCAAAAGACAAAAGCTGCAGCGGCACCTGCAGCAGCAGCAGCAATGTATCGGCAACTGTAGGTTTTGCCGATCTGCAACATACAACGTGCACAGAGCAGGAAACGAAATGGGGCAGCAACAGAAGCTGAGGCAAGAGGGATTCTGCCAGACGGGGACCGGAGAGCAGCCGGGGGACTAAAAGGGGGGGGGGGGGGGGGACGAGCCACACCGAGCGCCACCAGCGAGCCACCGTGGCCTGAGGCATCACAGAAGCGCAGACGAGCGGAGTCGGAGGGGCCAGCAAGGCCCTCGAGCGAGCCCACCCCTGCTCCGTGCAGGGCCCCCCGCGGCGTCCGGGCACGCCCCTCCTCTCTGGCCCCAACGGACTCACCTGGGTCTCCGAGAGGCTGAGGCTGCTGGCCAGTTGTTTGCGTTCGGCACCCACCACATAGTGGTTCTTCTCAAAGGCGCGCTCGAGTCTCAGGAGCTGCGAGGGCGAGAAGGCTGTCCGGATCCGCTTGGGCTTCCGGGCAAACGGGCCGTGAAGAAGCAAGCTCTCCTGGGACACCTCGCTGCCTGCGGGGGAAGCGCCACAGGTCAGCATCCGTCCTGGCAGTGGCGGGAGCCGCCCTCCCCCCGCCCCCGGAGGAAGAGCCCTGTCGCGCTTGGAGGCTCACTCCCACGGGTGCCGCGGGGCCGAGCAAGGCCGGAGTGTGGGGACGGGGCCCCTCGGGGCCCGTCTCAGCAGCGCGGGCAGGACCCCACACAGGGCGGCCAGCCCACTTCCAAGCAACGGGCCGGGGAGGAGCAACGCCTCCCCCATTTCAGCGCACATCATCCAGCGGTGGGAGGCCAGCATGAGACAGGCGGCTCGCGGCAGGTGCGCTGCTCCTTCAGACGGCAGCTCTGCCAGGACCAGGCGCCAAGCCCACCCACCGGGCCAGTCACTCGCTCTCGCCAGCTTTCCTCCAGCACCGGTCCGTAAGAGCGGTGGGGGACGGGCCCGGACAGAGGCCTTTGGGGGCCACCTGCATCCATCCGGACAGGACCCTGTGAGGGAGCTGCCCTGGCTGCTGAAGCGATGCTGCAGAGACTTCTCTGCGGCAGCTGCACGAGACACTGACCCCGACCCGAGAGCTGCACCAGTTCCAGGGAATCCCGTGTGCAGGATGCGGCCCGGCCTTTGGTGGCGCCAGACTCAACTCCTGCTGGAGGGCGACCGACCGCAGGGGATCTGACTTTGGCCTGGCCATCCAGGCTCCAGCAGAGGGAAAGCGCCAGGGCGACCCACACCCGAGCAAGGGCGGGGAGAGAGGCCCTCCGCTCCCTCGGGGCGCATGCATGCAGCACGCACGCACGCACCCTCCCGAGGCAGACGCAGAACGGTGGTGCTCGGCTGCCCAGGCCCTCCTTCCACAGGGACGATGTGCGTGAGCCACAGCACGTGCTCTGGGGGAGCCGCACGGGTGGAATGCCTGGCGGAAAGGAAGGGCCGATGGCACTCTCGCGGAGGGGTGGGATCCTGTCCTGCCGTGTTACCAGACCGTGGGCTGTGGGGCCGCAGCAGGACGTGCTCTCTGGGTGGCTCCTGCGGCCCTTCCCCTCATTCCTCTGCCTTTGCTCCCAGGGGCCCGGGGGGCCAGGCAGGGGACAATGCCCCCTCCCATCTCGGCAAGGAGGAGCACTGGGCACCCCCCCAGCTGTTGCCCGGCAGCCTCCGACAAGTCCCAGTCGTGGAGCCTCGTGGGGATGGCCGGTCTCCTTCACAGGGATGTTGTGAACAAGCACAGAACGAAAAAGGCCACCCCCTCGCACCAGGAATGAGTGCCGAGCAGCAGGGGCCCCGATCAGTCAGCAAGCCCTGGTCTGTCGGGGCTCATTTCTGTACTTAATTAGCACACAGCTAGTTGGCCCAATAACCGGCGTTCTCTGAGTGGATTACAAGCAGTTAAAAAGTAAAACGGTGGACAGCAATTAAACATACAAAACACAAGACGGACTTTTAAAGGAGGAACATAAAATAATGCAAAACAAGGGAGGACACGGAAGTCAACAGAACAGCCACAATGGCGGACAAGCTGCCTGGGAGGAAGAGGGGGCTTTGACTGCCCGCCCCCCCCCCCGAGGACCGGCCTCACCCTCCTGGGGTCTCTTTCTGTCAGCGAGGTGCCACCACGGGGCAGGGTCTCTCCCTTGCAGCCCCCGCCTCACTGCCTGGAGTGGGGGTCCCTCAGGGGAGGGTCCCCGAGGATGATCCAAGTGTCTGCGCAGAGACTTGGAGGAGAGGCTGTGCGGACCCCAAGTCGATTCGGGCCCAGCGACGAGGAAGCAAAGCCCCGGCACACACGGTCGGTCGGCCCGCTGGACACGGGTTGTGACCAGCAGCCCCCGAGCCGGCTGAACTGCCTCCGAGCGCCCGCCGGGCGTGATGCCGACGCAGCCAGGTGCTCGCAGAGCACGGACCTGACCGTGGCTGGGCTGCCTTGGGGCACCCCCCACCTGCCTGGCGCTGCCCACCCCACCGCAAGCACAGAGGTGTGCAACGGGCAGCCAAGCCAGGTCCCTGCGGGGGCGCATGGGGGGGGCTGCGGTGTGGCCACCCCGCACTTCCGCCTTCGTGGACCCACCCCGACCCAGCAGGGATGCCGCAGGCCAGGACCGACCGCCCTGCTCCTCTGGGCAGGGCCGCGGCTTGGCCGAGGGGTGGGACGCAACGCCCCCCCCCCCGCAGCAAGAGGTGCGAGGGCACCGCCTGCGCAGGCGTCTCGGCTCGCCACAAATGCCCCGCGCGGCTAGGGCTCGCTGGAGCAGAAGCTCCGCCGGCCACGAAGCCGCCTCGGGCCTCCAGTGGCGGGCGCCGCGGATCCATGGGCGCGCCGGGTGTGCGCACGCAGCGCTCTCATAATTTGGGTCGCGATCCAGGCAAAGTTAAGCAGGGGAAAGTGCAGTTGGTTGCGGGGGACAAAGCGCGCGACGGTCTTTCGCCCGCGTGTGCGAGGCCGGCTCTATCACAGACTTCAGAAAAATCTCTCGCGCTGAAATCCGCGCAGGAGGAGGCCCTCAGCCTTGGCTGGACTGTGTCCTGGCTGACCAACGGCCGCGGAGGAAGCTATGACGGGAATATCGGTATGGACCAAGAGCCGCCCCTCAGCATTCCGCGCAAGCTCTGCTGGGAGAGAAAGGACCCGACAGTTAAGCCGCGGAGAGTAACCGGCGCTGCCGGCCGCCGGCACGGCGGGACCCCCTCCGCTCCCCGCCGCCCGGGAGGGCTCCTCTCCCTTCCTTCCGTCTGGGGACGGACCCTGCACCGTCCCTCGCCCCGAGCGCGCTGGACTCCTTCCTCTTTCATTCGGAATCCCGACTAAATGGTTATGCCTTGAGTTCTGTTGGCCTGGACGAATTCTGCAATCGCATGCCCCCGTGTTGGTGGGTCGCCGTTTCCGCAGTTCGGTTTTTTAAAAAGGGATAATCAATTTTACAAATAAGGAAATAAAAACAGAATAGTAAATTCTGTATATACAAATTCTGCTGCAGTGCCTAAACAGTGCAGTTTTGTAACAAATTTTCTGCCCAGTTTCCCATTGGGAACTTCGTTGCTTTTATCAATTGTGAATCAGGGAAGCCACGAACTTTTCAAAATGAAATTGAAGGACTGTTGGATTCATGCACAGGCATCTCAAATGCCCTTCTAAGGGATTAAACACGTATCTAAAAATATATATTTCTAAAGGTGCGATTGTCCATGTTTATTTCTATGCTCTTTCCGTGTAAACAGGGAATACCCTCCCAAGTGGTTAATTTAAAAAGCCTGTTTTGAGAGACAGTTCACACTAGCTGTCCGGAATATGCCTGGGGGAAAACTCAAGTTTTTTCTTCTAAAAGCGGGCTTGCATTTGGAGAGACACAAAATGGGGACGATTGAGCATTTGAGTAAATTAGCGGCCTCAAACTCGTAATTAGTGACTCTGCGAGAAAAAGCGCGGGGCGAGCAACAGGCGAGAGGCGATCGCCCGCGAGCTCTTGGGGCGGCTGGGGCCGCGGAAATTTCCCCTCGTCCCGCCCGCGGCGGCTGCGTCTGGCCGGCCCCGCAGAGCCGAGCTGGCCGTGCCCGCGGCGGCTCCATTCGCCTGCCCTCCGGCGCCGAGGGCTCTGCTCGCCGCGCAGCTACGAAAGGCGCGGCCCTCCTCTTCCGTACCGCACGGGAGAAGGGCCAACAGCTCCGAGCCGAACGGACACCGAAAGCCGAGGGCAACTGGCAAACACGCCCGAGTCCTCCCGTTTAAAATGACGCGCCAAACCCGGATCAGAAGCCCGTGAAACGCGGCGACCTCGCCAGGCTGCCTGCGGGCCGTGCGGGGCAGGGGAGGCCGGGCCCCGCAGCGGCCGGCTCCCTTCGTGGGAAGCGGCACGCGGGCGAAGGCGCCCCTCGCAGCGGGGCGCGGGTCCCAGGAGGCCGGGGCGCGCGCGGAAACCGACGCAACGGGGGCGCGCCCCGGGCTGTCCAGTCCCTGCGGCCGTCACTCCTGGCCGCACGGGTCGAGGCGCGGATCACAGGAGTCGCTTTGAGGGATCGGAGCCCGGCAGACGCTTTGCCAGCGCGGGTCGCAACGCTGGGCGGATCGCGCCCCTGCGTCGGCTCCTTCTGGAGCGAATCCTCGCGGGGCGCCGGATCCTCCGGCTGGCGCTGCCCCCGAAGTCTGTGCCCGTAGGCGCCGGGTGGCGGTGGGACGGTGCGGCGGGGTCCCCTTGCAGCCGCGCCGGACGGGAACCCTCTGGCTTTGCCGGCAGCGCCTCCCTGCCCGTAAAGCGCCGCGAGACGCGGCGGAGCGCGCCTCTCCCGAGAGCATGAAGCCCGAACGGCGACCACGGGGCACGAGAAGCCGCGGCGGAGAAGGCCAAGGCAGGCCGCCATCGGGCACCCGCCCGGAAGGGCAAGCGCACCCCGCGCGGCCGCCCGTAACATGCTCGCGGCAGGAGCGGCCCGAGAAGCAGAAACGCCGCGGAGGCGCGGCTCACGCGTGGCCGGAAGGAAAGGCCCGGCCCCGCCGCACACCAGGCCGTCTGCGAGAAGCCCCTCGCCGGGCAGGACGCCAGCCGTGAGCAGGCGCCCAGTACGGCTGCACACGCGCGGGGGAACGGCGGCTTGCCGCGGCCTCAAGCCCGGCCTCGGGCCGGCGCCAGCCCTAGCCCTGAGCTAGCCGAGGGCGCGGCCGGCCTCGCCGAAGGCCGCTGCCGAGGGACGCTGCCCAGGGAACAGGGCCGAGCGGCTCCCGTGGACGCGCCAATCCGACCGGCCAGCGGTCCCGACAAGCCCGAGAGCCGGCAGGCGCCAGGCCAGCGGGAGGAGGCCGCGGCCCGTCAGTCCCCGCCGTGCACCTGGTCGCCGTCTCTGCGCCCAGAAGGCTGCCTGGCAGGAGTCCGGCGGGCCCCTGGGTGGGGCGGGAGCCGTGGCGCGGCGGGCCCCCCTCCCCTGGGCGCTGCGCGGCGGAGGGCGGGGGAGGCGCCCCCTGATCCGATCCCGGAGCCCGAACAAAGGCGCTTTGATCGGCCGCGGTCCCTTCGCGCGCCGGCCAGCAGAGAGGCGGGTGGGGGGCGGCCTTTCAGCTCGGCAGTGAGGCGCGGCGCGGGGCTCCGTTTCCCGGGCTGGCCGAGCCTCGGCCGCGCTGGGCGACGCAGAAGGGAGCGGGCGGTGAAACGGGCGCTGGACGCCGCCTGGGGAAGCGCCGTGGCGGCAAGGCCGGCCAGAGGCCGACGTGCCACGGCCGCCGGCTGGGAAGTGGCCGCTTCTGCGGGCCGGGCGGAGGTGGCGCGGGCGCCCGAGCCCCCTTCGCAGCCGGCGGGCGCTGCGCGAGGGGCGCTTTTCGGCGGATCTCTGCCCCTCGAAATCCCGCCTACCTGGGCCGGAGCGCTCGACGGGGCTCGGGAGGCCTTTCGCGCGCCGAGAGGGTCTCCGGCGCCCGGGCTGCTGGGCGGTACCGCGGGGGAGACCTGCCTCGAAGCGTTCCTGCAGGGCGCTCTCCCTGGCGGGCCCGGGCCGCGGGATTTCCCTTCCAGAGAAGCAGCACGCCACGAGCGGATGGATCGGGCCCTTTCGCTTGGCGCTCGTTGGACGGCCCCGCGGGGAGGCGCGGGGCGCCGCGGCTGGTGAGTCCGCTCATGCGACCCGCTTCTCTCGCCGCGCGCGACGCTTCCAGGTCAGCCGAGGGGCCCAATCCGCCCGGGCTGCTGCGGGAGGGCGACGGCCGCTCAGCCTCAGTCCGAACCAGAAACGTTGACAGGCCGCTTTCTCGCTGCCTTCTCCTCCGAATAAACCCGGGTCGCCACGTTAAAAGTGCTTAATTTTGGATGGATCGTGCAGAACCTTTCCCCTCCTCCTCAGAATTTAACGCCATTCCTCAGAAATCGGGGTCCTTGATTTTCGGGAGCCGAGGGAAAACCTGGACAAAAAAAACCAACCTCTCCTTGGAAGTACATTTCGGTGAGAGAGGCAATTTCAGTGACCCTGACTCCAAGTACATTTATTTCCTCCTGCTTCCGAAAAGACCCCGTCTCCCGCAAAGAGGGGTCTGGCTAACCGCCCGCCGCCCAGGGCCAAAGATGTTGAGAAAACTTCGCCGAGGAAAAAAGGGGGATCTTACTCTCTTCGACTTAAAACGAACTGAACTCAGCTCAACCGAACACCGGCGAATGATGTGCAGGACCTGAGCTGTCCGCTCAGCTCCCCTCGCGAGAGCCATTTCGCCGGCGAGCCCGAAGCGCCGCGGGAGACCTGCTGGACCGGCAGGCCTCGGGTTCTGTTTGTCTCGCAGACAGGCCGGCAAGGCAGAATGGATCCTGTCCGTCTAGAATTAATAAATCTCATACCGACGGTGGGAAGAATACAACCTATAAAATATAATTTTTCCCGCTGCAGAGCCGTAAACGCCTCATTTACAGGGGATCGCGAGACAATTTCATGCGGCATATAATGGGCGAATAGCCGGAGCCTGGACGCGTGCGGTCGTCGAAAGGGCTCCGCGGCTTTCCTTCCGAGTAAACGTGCCGGGACGGGCCCGCGCCGCGTCCGAAGCCACGGGGCCTGCCCGCATCGCCCGCCGGGCGTCCTGCTCGCAAGCGCGCGGGGTCTCCGCGCACCGGTCCAGGCCCGCGCGGCTCGCACGGAAGGCCGGGCGCCAGGCGGGAAGGCGGGCGGGCGCGGGCGCGAGCGCGGAGGGCTCCCGCGGGCCTCGAGCAGCCCCTCCGCATTCCGGGGCTTGCCTGCCAGGGGCGCCCCTCGCCCCGGCGGTTCCGGGGCGCCGATGCCCTCGCGGCTGAAGCTGCGACGCGGCCGTCCCGGGCGCAAACCATCGCTGCCGAGGGAGGAAGGGCCGCTCTCCGCCTCCCGGGCTTCCCCTCCGCTCCGCCGCAGCGCCGAGTTCCGGGATGGAGGCCTGCGGTGGCCTGGGCAGCAGCGCGGCTCTTCAGCAGGCGCAAGGGCCGCGCCGGGAAGGAGGGGAGGAGGATCGGGAGGGGAGGAAGGCCCCTCTGCCCGGGCAGGAGCTCGCCGCTGCCAGCCCCCAGCCCCACAAGGAGGACTCAGTTCGCCGCGCTGGGCCTGAGCAAACCTGCCCGCCGCCTGGGCGCTGGAAGTCGTCCCGGGGTCAGATCCGGATGAAGCCACGCGGGGCTCCTTGCCCTGAAGAATCGGGAGCGTCCCACGCCTGGCGAGAGGCTGCCTCGCCCCGCCAAGACCTCTCTGGCCCCTTCGGATCCTTCTCCCTTCACGGGAGCCTGCCTGCCCGAAGCCAGCCCGGCACACGCGGAGGGCGGCCCTCCCGCGAAGCCCATGCCAGCCCGGCCGACGGGCCCCGAACGTCCCCCTCAGAAGGAACCCCCTCAGGAGGGTCCGGGCCTCCCCTGCGCGCGTCCTTCCACGCAGCGCTTGCGCCGGGCGCTTACCTTGGAAGCGGTGCCCGAAGAAGCGGTTGCGCAGCACCCAGGGGTAGAAGTTGAGCGGGTCGCGGGGCTGCGCGCCGAGGAAGGGGTGGTGCGGCGAGGGCGGCAGGTGCGAGGCGCCCAGCTGCGGCGGGTGCACGGCCAGGCCCGGCGGGTGGCTCACGGCCTCCGGGAACAGCAGCTCGGGCCCTCCGTAAAGCGAGCGCCCGGCGGCGGCGGCGGCGGCCGGTCCCTGGAAGCCGTGCGCGAAGGCCTCGACGGCGGCGCTGGCCGGGTAGCCGAGGGCGGCGGCGGCGGGCCGGAGGGGCTCCTCGGCCAGCGGGTGGCTGTCCTTGCCCACCAGCGACTCGATGGTGAAGCAGCGCTTGGCCGCCGCGGCCGCCGGCTGGAACATGGCGCCCGGCGGGGCAAGAGGCGGCGCGCGAGTGCGGGGGAGCGCCCGGGCGAGGCTGCTCGAGGGAGCCACGACGGGCGCGGGCAGGCTGCGGGAGGCAGGGCGCGCCAACGCCGAGCGGCTCCGCGGAGGCGGCGGCGGCGGCACTCGCGCCCGTTCACACGCGCACTCACCCCCGCTCCCTCCGCCGCCGCCGCCGCCGCCGCCCGCCCCATCCACCCGTTGCACAGTGGGCGCGCTCCGGGGCTCGCCGTCCAGATAAGCCGAGTACCTGGCGGGCCGCCCCCTCTGATTGGCCAGGCTCACCTGCCCCGGGGTTGGGGAGGGCACGTGGGAAGGGGAGCGGCGGGGAGGAGGGAGCGGGGTCGCCACCAAAAGGCGGACTGGAGCCCCGCGCGGCTGCTCCGCGTCCCGGAACCGCCCCTCCCCGCCCCGCCCCTCCCCCGCCCGCCCCTCGCTGCCTGCGCGCTGCTCGCGGCCGGCGGAGCGACGGCGCGGAAGAAGAGGCCGGGCGGGCGGCGAGCCGGGCGCCGCGCGCTGCTGCGGGACTGGGCCGGGAGCACCTGCGCGGAAAGCGGGCGGCAGCAGGTAGGCGGGCCGGCCCGGCGCGGGCGGGGAGCAGCGGGCTGCGGCGCCCCGAAACGGCGGCGGCGGCGCTTCTGGCCCTCACGGTGCGTCCGGCTTCGGGGCGGCCTCGGGCCCGCGCGGAGCCCGCTCCGCCCGGGCGGCTCTTCCCTCGCGCGGTGCGCCCCCGAGCGGATCTGCAGGAGCGGGCGCTCTCGTCCCCGCAGCGGCGGCGCGGCAGGACTGGGCGGAGGCGCCCGCGAGCCCCCACGGCGGGAGCGCCCGGGCGAGGCTCCCCGCCTCCGGAGTGACCCGCTCGCTGCGAGGGCTGCCGGGCTCCCGCAGTGCAACGCTCGCGCGTCCCTCGGGCTCCGGGCGCAGCAGCCGCACGTGTGGCCCGGCCCGGTTTCTAGAGAGCGGCCGCCCCCGGCCCTGCCCCGCCCCGCCCCGACGCGCCTCCCCGGGCCGGAACGGGGCTGCCGCCGGCTCCCTCGAGCCCCGCACTCCTCCCGCGCCGCCCGGCACAGCCCCGCCTTTCCCAGCCGCCGCGAGGTGGGCCCTGCCGCTCCTTGTCCCCGCTGGTCGGAGGCCGTCCCGGTGCCTGCCGGAGCTCGGAGGCTGACCCGTCCGGCGGCCCGGAGATACCCGAGGCTTTCCCCTGCAGCAGGAGCCGGCCGCCCCGCGCCTTCTGCCGGAGCCCCCGACCGGCCTGAGAGACACTTTCTGGGAAGGAAGAAGCCCCCGTGGCCGGTCCCGCAGCGCGTGCGCGCCCGCCCACCGCCCGCCCCGGCTCCGTCGCCGTCGGGGGCGAAAGCCGCGGGTGCGCGCCGAGGAAGGGAAGACGGGAGGGGTGCAGGCGGAGTTGCGGGGCGCCCGTTTAGGGCAGCTCCGCAAAGCCAAGGAAGAAGGGGAGGGGGCCACCAAGCAGTCCAGGTGGGAACGCGGTCCTTCCGCCCCGTCCTCCCAGTCCTCGGATGCCCCCTCCCAGTCTTCGGGCCACCTCTGCTGGGGGAGAGCGGGACTGTCCGGCACATTCCCATCCCTTCGCTCGCCGCCACGCCCCCCCCCCGCTCCCCGCTCCGGTGCACGTGCGTCTTTGGCATTCGGAGCAAAGCACCTTCTTTCTGCAGTCAGTCCAGAGCAAGGCCGCTCCCCGCGAGAAGCGACTTTCGGCTATGCTGACGCTCAGTTCTCTCCCTTTCAGACGTTCGGCTGCCTCCCCGTCTGCTCATTTCTGCACGGTCCAACTTCGCAGGGCCAGCGAGGCCGAGGGAGCCTTCGCGATGCGCCTCCTGCGCCCTCCGCCCCGCGGCTGACAGCCCCTGCCTCCCTCCTCGGGCAGCTGCCGCTGCCGTCCTGGCGGGGAGGGTGCGGCGAAGGCCCCGCGCCGCTTCCGCGGGTTCCCCAGGGCTCTGGCCTTCCCCTCCGGCTCTCGGCAGGAGGGCACGGGGTCTTCGCGGCAGGCGAGCTGGGCTGGCTGTGTGAGCGAGGCCGGCAGGCCAGCCCGCGGCCCCGAGAAAGGGAGCGCGCTCTCCGCCCCTGCTGGGATCGCCGGCGCCTGGTCACCGGAGGGACGCTCCGCTCCGCAAGGAGAAGCTTGGACGGGCGTGTGCGGTTGGGCCGGGGCACGGGGCGGGGGCTGCCACCGCGGCTGGACCGTGGAGAAATGAGACGGAGGACACCAAGAGCAGCGGGAGGCGCCCTTTCCCCGTCTTCTCCTTCCTCTTTCCTTTTCCGACCGACCTTCCCCAAACTGGATCAATTGGCAGTGAGACGGCAAAATAAGAAGTCGCACAGAAATAACGGGCCAAGAACGGCTAGGTAGAGGAAGAGCGGGGGGGGGGGGGAGGGGGGCTCTTGCAACCGCAGGGACTAGCGCCACAAGCCGCTGCCCGAGAGAAGCAGAGGGCCGAGCCCTTCCTTCTCTTTGGCTTCCGGCGGACTCCGCGATTCTCCCTTCCGCCCTCTGCCGAACCCAGCGCGGGGGGCTTTTCCCCCTTTCCCTTTTGCTTGGCTGGCCCGTCGGGGCTGCTGGGCGGAGCCGTTTGGCGAGAGGAGCCACTGGGCCAGCAGGAGCGTGGGCGCGTTAGCAAGAGTCCTTGCTCGGTCCGGCTACCCAGCCCGGCTGCAGGCGTGACCTGGCCTGTCCGTCGGCGGAGCCGGCAGCAAGCGCGTCCGCGATGGCCGAAACCGCCCGAGGGAAAGGGGCTCCGGCGAGCACCCGACGCGCCCCGCCAAGGCAGGAGAGGAAAGGGAGGCGGCGGCTCTTGCGGCAGGTGGCCGGAGCACCTCCGTCAAGCGCAGCGGTCCTGCGGGGCGCGCGCGGGGGGGGGGGTAGCCTCTCTGAACAAAGGGAGGAACAGGGTGGGGGGTGCTGACCTCCCCGGAGCCGGTGGTTCCGGGCCTTTCCTGGCTGGGGTCTGGCCAGCTTTGGCGCCTCATAGGAACGCGGGCTGATAGAAGGGGAAGGGGCCACCAGGCGTCGGCTCCCGCCCCTGCCCAGCGCCCCTCGGCTCCAAGGCCGGGATCGCAGCTGGAGCGGGGTTGCAGGCAACAGACCGGGGGAGCCTCCTGACGTTCTTCTTGTTGCGACTTCCTTCCAGGTCAGCGTCCGCAAGAGCTCGGGGCCAGTCTGGGAACCACACGCAGTCACCCTCCCTGGCACAGGGGTCTTAGAGGGGCGCGAGGGATGCCCGTTCAAGCACCGAAACAGGCTGGGTGGCGTCGCTCTGGACAAAGGACCCCGAAGTGCTCCTGAGGGGAGTCTCTCAGTCGCCTTTCGCCTTGCGGCCAGACCCTCACAGAAGAAGCGAGGATGACGTGTTTTGTTTGAATTATTTATTTATTGGATTTATCTGCCACCTTTTTTCTTACAAAAATATCAAAGCAGCTAACACAATTCTGCTCCTCCTGCTCTCCATCTTATCCCCACAACAACCCTGCGAGGTAGGTGGGTCTGAGAGACTGTGACTGGCCCGGGATCACCCTTTGGCTTCCATGGCCGAGCAGGGACTAGAACCCGGGTCGCCTCTGAGCCTCTACAGTTAAACACGTATTTCAAAGTGTTGCTATTTGATAGCAAAAATCAGAACACGTTTCTAGAGGCGAAGGGGAGAACATCTCTTCTTGTTTAGCTGAACAATAGCAACGCAACAGGCGCCGAAAGGGTCCGAGCGCAGCTTTGCTGGCCTCGCATCAGGCCGCGTGGGAGGTCGCTCTTTCCGCAGGAACAGCTCCCGGCCCGGGTCTGGGATGCAGGTTCTCTTCCGGATCCTCCGTCTCTCAGTCGCCATCAGGGGCCTGTCCCGCGCGCCTGTCCGTGGGCTTCCTTTTCCCCTTCGCCCTTCCGGCGGCTTCTGAGAGCCACGCGAGTTGTGTCCGTGGGGGAAGGTTGGCGCTTGTGCCAAGCAAAATAAAATAAATGGATTCCCCCCCCCACCCCGCCCCGGATACGAATTTTGCCACAAGGCAAAGATCTCTGTGAGCGCGTCTCAAAAGAGCATTTTAATCAAACGCGAACGGGCCACCACGTTCAAGTCGCTGTCAAGTTGGCTTGCAGGAAAGAAAATGAAACAAAGGGGGCGGAAACCTCGAGAAAAAATAAAACAAGAACCGACAAAGCGGAGGGTCAAAAAACAGGACCCAAAGCAGGCGGCGCGAGCCGCGGCGGCGCTCGGCATCCAGGGGCTGGGGAGGCCGCGGCGGCGGCGGCTCGGCACGGGCGCCCGCGGAGGCGCCGGTCCTCCCGCTCGTCTGCCCCGCCGAGGCCGCGATCGGGCGCTTCCCCAGCTGAGGGCCGCGCGCTGCCGGGGGCGCTGGGGCTGGCCGGCCCTTCTCGCCCCGCACCGCCCTGCCCCGCCCTGAGGCCCCGCACCGCTCTGGAGCGGGCTGCCCCCGGACGCTGCCCCCGTGGCCTGCACGGTCTTCCTCGCGCCGGCACCCTTCCGGGAGGAAAGCCCGACCCCGGCAAGTCGGAAGGCGGCGACCTGGTGCGCGGTTACCGGCGAGCGAGTCCCAGGGGCCTCGGCGGGCCTCCACGTATTTATTTAATTTCTAAACCGTCGGACAGCCGAAGCTCTGCGGACTCAGCTCGGCCAGGCGCGCAGCGGGTGGCGATGGAAGGCGCCCAGTTCCTCGCCCCTCGCCCACCTTGTTGTCCAGCTCGCTCGTTCTGAAGCGCAGCGCGATCCTCCGCCGTCAGTGCGGGAGGCGCGTGGGTCCGGGCTGCGCGTGTCCTTTCGGCCGTTTCGGGATGCTTGCGGCTGCCCCTTGCTGGGGTGGGAGATGGCGGGCCTGGAAAGGAGCCGCCGGGGAACCTCCGCGCTGGCGGCTTTGCTCGACGCCGGGCCCCTCCGCTGCACCCCGTCTCTCACGGGGCACGCCTCCGCCTTGCGGAGCCCCGGAACGCTCGGGCCTGGAGAGCCGGCGGGAACGGG